ACATCTTTCACACAGTCAACTACCACATTCATTAATAAAGTCATTGTGGTAACCAAAAGTAATTTACATGTATACACACAGTTTCACACATTCATCAACATAGTCATTTGGTTTTCAAGCTAGCTTGATCAAATATCCTGCAGCAGTCAGGAATTCCAGGGGTGTCTTGATACCAGATGTCAGCTGGGCCTTCAGACGAGTGAGTCTCTGGTCAATTTCTGTGTACGTCCTCTTGCGGGGTGGGGGACGGGCGCCATGAGCCATCTGCACCAGCTTATTTCTCTCCGCTTTCTCCAGCTTCTGCAGAACCTTCACAAGAGCGAAAATGTTCGGGTGGGCTCTCTGGACGGTCTTGTTGAGATGCGAATGCCAACCCTCGAGATGATTGTTCGTCCTTGGGCCGCTGGTGTCGTGGTGATTCCATAGTCCGGCTCGGAACCGTGCATGGTCGTCTACCCAGAGAATCTTATCATCATCACCGTCATCAATGCAGAGGAAGGGCAGTCCATCTGTAGTCTCCTTGAAGAAGTCGGGTAGATTCACCTCGCTGAGCGTCTGGGGAAGTGGCGGTATCATCTTCCGTCTCTGCTTGTAGAGTCCACTCTTCATAGAATGGAACGACTTGACTGTTGCTGCTTCATCTCGGTCAAGTCGGGAAATCTCCTCATCGTAGATCACCTGAACTGGCGTCGTCTCAGTCTGTACCCGCTGCCTCAGGGAACTGGCAATCTTCAGGGCTACCTGGTCTTCTTGTGGGTGGTTGTGTGGGGTCTGATTCCGAACAAACTGTCCGACTGTCGTACACTTGCCAAAGCAGCCACCTTGAACACACTTCCAGTGTACACACGTCTGTCGCCTGTTGTTGAGTCTGTAGCGGTATCCCTCAAAGAGTACCTGCTGTCCTCCTTTCTGTGATGTGAAGTATTCGACTTTCTTGGGATTTGCCATGATTTGCAATGAAGATTTGTATCACAAGCATTTTAAAGCAATACATTTCCTTCTCCCTTTAATAATCTCTCAATTAATTACTCTATTCTTCAATTTTAAAGCAATACATTTCCTCCTCCCTTTAATAATCTCTCTATTAATTACTTTACTCTTCAATTTCCTTCTCGTGTGAGAACTAAATGCGTATGGAATTATCAAAACATAAGCTAGCTAACGATTTAATACTCTTGATCTTACTCTTTACTCTCCTTGCTGGCCTCCCCTAATCCCTTTGTAGGCAATAGTGCACACTAAGTGGAACAATCTACTTGTGTGCAGGTAAGCGTATCGCTGTCACTGCAAACGTTGTAGCTATTATTCCCTGTAGGCATTATTCACTGTAGGCATTAGTAGACCTAACCCATACTACTGATCAAAGAAGTTAGAAAGTCGTGGTCCATGCTGTCCCAATATCGGACCACCTCTTCTTTCATTTCAGTTGTCAGATTTTTCTTATTGACACTTTCCTTCATAAGTCCCCAAACATTTTCTATTGGATTTAGGTAAGGGCTATAGCTTGGCCAATCTAATAATGTCATATTTTGGGTCCGAAACCAGGCCTGTGAATGCTTTGAACGATGTTTTGGGTCGTTGTCCTGCTGGAAAATCAAAATATTTCCATAGAACACGTGAGCAGATGGAAGTAAATGTCCCTCGAGAATATCTGTGTACCGCTCACTGTTCATATTCCCTTCAAATACACAGAGGGGCGTTGCCCCTAAACCAGATATGCCACCCCACACGTTAAATTACGGACTGTACTTTGGGCGCTGATACAAAGGTTTTTCCATATTTCTTTGCTGTAAGCACCAGTTCAACCCTCGCTCCTTTTGTTCAGGTTTCATGATCGGTGATGGAATTCCTCGACTTTTCTGCCAACCCATTGCATGCAGCTCAGTTCTAATTGTCTCCTTACAGACAGCCACAGTTCCTCTATCAATCATATCCAGCCTAACTTTTCTAAACTCCTTCGTTTGTTTTTAGAAACAAGAATACCAAGCCGCCTCCTGTCACCGACAGTCAATTTTTCTGGGCCTACCTGCGCCTCCCTGGTGCTCAATGACATATCCATTTGCAATATTTTTCAAAACACGATAAACAGTGGACAAAGGGATGCCTGTTCTACTTGAAATCACTTTAGCTCATCTGATGTCCTTGTTATAATACTCTAAAATCAACTTCGTCTTCTCTAAATCATCCATACTGAGGATCACTGAAAATGTCGTCTGCTAGCAAGCAAAGGGGGATAACTCTTCACAAACTAATGAAAAAGGATTCACGGAGTTGTCTCTTCTTGAATGAAACCAAGCACTTGATAGCTGGTCAAGGTTGTTTATACTAGAAATTCAATTAAACATATTCCTAAAATTCTCAATAATTTCTGGTCATACTATATTTTATTCTATATTTGAATAATAAGTTTCAAATAGAAAGTGACATGCAATAAAAAGGTATTTTAATGCTTTAGACACTATCTTCTACAACGGACACCAGTGACATCATACTGTTAATTAGCGGGATTAATCATCATTGGTTAAATTAAGAATGTGATAGCTTGTGCTTTCTATGCAGATGATGTTTACAATATTGAGGCAGCACATTCACTTGAAGGACAGAACAGTGAGGTGATGTGATTCTATCAAATGTGCCGATACAAAAGGTAGGCACGATGCAATCATAAATGCAAACATCTTCCAGAATGAAAATATTGAAATAAAAACTGTTTTTTAATTCAAATCAGTTAGGGTTTTTTGCTCCTATGATCCAATGACACCAGACACCCCAGTTTTACCTATGTTTGTTTTTATAATCATAGATGCCTTGTCATTACATGTTCATGTCATTATTTTTTCAAAGGCCAAAGCACAAAGGCAAATCCTGGAAACAGATGAAGATCTGTAAATAATTTATCCGCCTCTTTATTTGAGAAAATTGAGACTCACCTGCCACTGAGCCCAAGTTCTGACTTGTTATTTAATAAATAAATAAAGTTCTCCTTAGCCAGAATTATCTATTGTTCATTATGCTGCTGTCATAATCAACTGTTTAACTGATCAAGAAAATAATATGTGGGACATCAGAAGCATAGACTATTTTGCAGCTCACACTCTTGCCTTCAAAATTAACTCTGCGGTAAGGCCAAGAAAAATTCAAATGTTTCACATCATTGTGTTGGACATTTTTGGGTTGTCTGATGGCTTTGAATTTGTCCCTCACCGTAACGCGGAACGGGGGACTATGTATTCAGCAGCGTCCGTACGTACGTCCCGATTCTTGTGAACGCGATATCTTATGCATTGGTATACCCAATATCTTCAAATTTGGTGACAACCTACATATAGAGGGATTATTACAGGGACACCAGTCGATTTGAGTGACCTTGACCATATTTTCAAGGTCACCACGACACTTTGGCCACTTTTCAAACATATGTAAACGCGATGTCTCATGCACTGTTGTACCTAATGTCTTCAAATTTGTTGACAGTCAACATTGGGGCATTACACAGACACCAGTCGATTTAAGTGGCCTTGACTTATCCCCTAGGTCATCATGACACTTTGACCACGTTTCAAAGTTATGTAAAAATACGCGATATCTTATAAAACTTTGCACCCAATTTTAGCCTCCGAACTGAAGAATATTTGCCATTTCTTACAAATTTGATGTCAGGAATTCACATAACGGGTATCGGGGGGTGGGGTGAGGGGTGGGGGTGAGGGGTTATGGTAATAGTGGGTGGGGTAGAAAATTTGGACCCGTCCCACACTGTGACTGGCAGTGGATATGTGCATCTGCATCTATACATTCAAATCTACTCTATTCCTGGAATATCATCAGAGTTAGGAGACGATATTGAGAAGTGACCATGACTAAAACTACAGGACACAAAACGTAATCTTCTATGTAACCAAACGGTCAAAACTAGTAAATATGTTATATTTCATTCCCCTTTTAGTCGGGGAGGTGGGGTAGCCGAAGGCCCGGGTTCGATTCCCCACATGGGTACAATGTGTGACGCCCATTTCTGGTGTCTCCCGCCGTGATATTGGTGTAACATTGCTAAAAGCGGCGTAAAACCCAACTCACTCACTCACTCACTCCTTTTAGTCATTGCCATGTAAGTGGCAAAACACTTGTTTAATATTGTTTTGAATCATTTGTGATAAATATGGACTTGAAAATTGTTTTGAAATATGTATAATATCTTAACTAATTATATTCCGAAATGTTTTAGATATTTCCTGAGTCAACATCTAGCTACCCAGTGGCGTTTCATGGATAGAGCCCACAGTGAATTCAATTTAAAGAATGTATCGCTTCAGATACGCCAGGATGTTTAACTGTGGTTGTACAACGTACGTTATTATAACGTACTATCAGAATATGCTTATAACGTTCCGATATCATTGTGACGACGTGAAAATGACGTATCACAGCGTCACGTCACAACGTTAAGTTATGACAACATAAATGGGAGTCAACAGAATAATGTTGTAGGGACGTAATATCATAACGTATCATAACGAAAGTATAACGTTGTGACAACGTGAAATTGTTAGCTGGGTTCCCCATAACTTCTTTGAGAGGCATTTTAGAAGTTGTATAGATGAAGGAAAAGCAAGTTCTATGGATAGTCAGCTTCTTTATTGCAATGAGTGCGACAGTTCCTCCATATCTGGAAATCTATACATCCCTACACTAGATCAAGGATTTGAGCGCACTTCATGACAAATGATTCATGCTTGTGAAAAAAAGTAAAGTTCTTCCTGTCAGTTGTTTAATATGTCTTTTTATAATCAATAGCTTAGTCACGGAGATGTATTGTGTAGTAAATCAGCAAAAGGAATAAGTCAGTCAACAAGTCATAATGTGCTATCATATTTATATGAATCGTTTATCCCATCCAAAACCTAATGTATATAATTCAGCCTTATTGAGCGGCCACGTACATTAAGTTCGGTGAAGTAAAATAGGATTCTTGTTTCCGAAAATAGCAAATATGAACTTACCTGTCCATGGCGCAGAGACGAGTTCCTACCTGCTGGATGTGCGTGTTGCTGTATCACGCAGCTTTATGTAAATGGAGGCAGCTGCTGCCGCGTTCAGTCAGCATCCCGTCATAGACCACAGAATTCCAGATGATAATTACGGTTACTGAATTGTCATCTGAATAATGACCGAAAGAACTGTTTCAAGTTGTTTTAGATCAACCGCAAATCACTGACAAGTGACGGATATCTTGATCATTTACTGTTCTGTGAATGACAAGTGGGGATGTTCGTGTTTCCTACTGATACGTGAGTACATATAGGACCCAAATGACCTACAGCTGCTGAATAAAAGTTTGTTGAAGTCAGTGATCTCGATCTTTTTCCAAAGTGTAATTGGAATTTACAAAAAATAAATATACCTGCAACATAGTTTCAGACAATAGCCAAACTTCTGCTGACCACTTCCATCCCTTCCATGCAGTACTACCTTGACTCTTCTTGGCATACTGTTGTATCTATAATGGAAGGAGGGTGCCTTTTGTCAGGGAGTACTAATGTCTCTTTACCGATTCCCAGAGTTCTGTACTGGATGCTGCTATATCCCTTGCAAATGTTTTCCCAATAATACCCCACAGGCATTCAATAGAATTCTAGTCAGGTGCATTTCCAGGTAATCAAGCAGTTTTACACTGTTTGCAACCAAGTATCTGCTAGTTGAACGTGAAATATCAGCGTGGACATTATCTTTGTGATATATTTCGCTATTTACGGTACCGGGCGCTTTCTTCAGAATTCCTGTACTATTGGGAGAAGTCATCCCCCAAACGTGAACCTGGGTTGGACGTTTCACAGTTGACTGTAGACAGTAATGGCGGTATCATTCATGTGAGAAACGCATTACTTTCATTCTTCTAGGGTTGCTGAATAATCTGAAGATGGTTTCGTCTGAGAAGAGTACCGTGTTCCAATCCTGCACCCGGAGGTGTCTGTGTTGCCATGTCCAGAGAAAACGCCTTTTGTCCTGAAGGAGCTCCCTGCTTGGAACGTAACATCGGATGCCAAAGCGCTGTAATCTGCTGAATATGTTTATCGACTACCCAGAATATTGAAGGGAGCGTACCGTTCTTTAGAGCGAGTGAGTGAGTATTGTTTCCAACATCACTGCGGGGAACACCAGAAATAGGCTTCAGACATCGTACCTATGTGGGAAATCAAACCTGGACCGTCGGAGTGACTACCGTTTTCTTGGACACTCCTTTCTAATGTTTCTGTCATCACGTCTTGTGGTCTTGTGGAACATTGCAAGGTGAGGTGTTGAGATGGGGCATTGCAAGGTGAGGTGTTGAGATGGGACATTGCCAGGCGAGGTGTTGAGATGGGACATTGCAAGGTGAGGTGTTGAGATGGGACATTGCAAGGTGAGGTGTTGAGATGGGACATTGTGTGTGTGTGTGTGTGTGTGTGTGTGTGTGTGTGTGTGTGTGTGTGCGTGCGTGTGTGCGTGCGCTGTCTACACTGTATGTCCACCAGATGATCTTCATAATTACAGACATGGACATGCCCGGATGATCACCACAACTACATTAAGTAACAAATGTCTTATTTTAAACCTTTTTTCATATTTCTGTAATAAGTTATGCTCTTTCAGAACAGGGTATAGCGTGTTTTAAGAATCCCTTGAACAACAGAGTTGTTGTTGGTGAGAATGCGGGATGACTACTGTCTGCACCGTTACGATCTTGGTGGTTATCGGGTTAATGAGTTAGCAGTAGATAGCATACTGCAGTAAATCGCCTCAAATATATGCTAGGTTGCTAAAAGCTCTACGTGATTCTTTATTCAGTCACTAAATAATTATTACAGTGTCATATTATACATAGTTTAGAAGCCCGTATATTAAACCTTGCTGTCTGTGATAGATATGGATGTTTGCATGTCAGTAGAATTGCCCCTCATAATACAACAAACAGCGGTGTCTACCGATTGTGAATACAGTGTTTGAATGCATGGTCCAGTGACTGCGAATTACCACTGACTAGTTTCTTGGAATATCCATTTGATTTATTCATGTATTCAATTAGTCCCTTTTCACGTCAAAATGTTTATTCATTGTTCAATTCATTTCAAATAATCCGTAAACAGGCAATTATGTTTAGTACCAGTTATGCAGAATCGATATTGTTAAAACTTTTCCTCAACCGCTACAACCCGCCATTCATTCATTCAACAAACAATTCATTATGTTCACCGCCATTATGAGTGTTTTTTCTCCTCACAAAACCAATAAATTAGAGCGAGAAGCCACATGTGTGACACAAGGAATGGTAAACCGGTGTTATATTTCCTTAATGGCTGCAACGACAAATTATGAGAATGTGTTTAAACATTTTAGCAGATGCTGGCAAGGTAATATATTTCGTGCTTAGATAAATTATGTAAACACAGCTTTTGTTGAATTAATAGCTGACACATACTATTGAAAATGCCGTGGAGGACATTCCATTTTAAGGGGGATAATATTTGGGAACCAAGTTGTGTCAGTGTATAAGGTTTTAGACAATCATCATTCCATTCAGAAGGTGTCAATTTCGTGCAAAGACGCCAACTTCGTGCTAGCATTTTTCATTATGTGCACGTGAACATGGTGGGGGTGAAATTCGAAATTTACAGTGAAACGTATCAGTGTGTTGCTGTACATTTCAGTTACAAACGCCAAACCGAAAGTTATACTGATATTGTTTTAAACTCATGTACACGGTTTTGACACGTCAGGAAAGGCTACCTGCAATTGGTATGTTGGGAGTTGGAACAAGACAGAGCACAATGGCACGAGCTCTTGCCTTTTAACAGTCAGTAATAAGCAGATTAGTATCACGGTATCGACAGACAAATAACGTAGATGATAGACGTCGCTCTTGTCCACCACAGACGAAAAGACCCTTCATTAAAACGACAAGGTTACGAGACCGTGGTCAAAGTGTCTGTCTTAATGAGTGAGGGTGTCATGTTGACATTGACTTGGGGGTTCAGACACGACCAGCTCTATCAAAGAGGAGCACAGTAAGTCGAAACTCGTCTGAAACAATGACATGGACGATTTCCCCAGTTATATCGTTACAACGTCTATTGACAAAATGACAATTTGTAAGTGGCGACACAGCGCGTTACTTAGACTAACGCTTAGTCTCTTAATATATATACTCAGCAGCAAATAAAACGTCAGTACGAATTCAAAATTAGATAGGCACTGTAATCAAATCATTACAGAAATGGACATAATAAGCGGATCAAAAACATTTTTTGTGTACAATATCAATGAATCAATGAATAACTCAGCACAATTTCAAGACATTACGTGAACGTTAGCAGTCCATTCAGACCCTTGACTTCAGTATCTAGTGTGACCACCACGAGCGGCAATAACTGCAGCACAGCGTCTATGCATGGAGTGCACCAATCGATTGATGAAGGCCATTGACACCTGGAACCACACTCTGAGAAAGGCCTGGCGCAATAACTCGGCTGTGTTCGGCCTTGGTATGACATTCAGTCTCCTCTGAATTTCAAGCCAAAGATGTTCAATTGGGTTTAAATCAGGACTGAGGGCTGGCCACTGCATAATATTGACACCGTTTTGCTGTAGGAAGTCCCGTCTAGCTCTGGCAGTATGGGCCCGGGCGTTATCATGCTGGAAAATGTTGTTTCGGTGACGTGCGAAATGTGATATGACGTGGGGTGTGAGAGGTTGGTCGATGTAGCCGCCTCTCCCTGGACCAAGGTTCTGGAACACCACAGAACCCACTCTCTGGTTCAGGCCTATTCCACCCCATACCACGATGCTTGCACCTCCCATTGAGTTCCTTTCCATAACACATTGGTCTGAGTAACGCTGGCCACGTCGTCGCCATATTCTTGTTCTGCCATCTGCAGTTGATACTCAGTATCGACTCTCATCTGTGAACAGAACAGTTCTCTATTGCCTATATCGCCAGTGTTGGCGTTGTAGGGCAAACTGTAGACGTTCACGCCAATGACGAGGGGTGAGGATAGGTCAACGGTAAGGTCTACAGCAATGGAGGTTCCCGCTGTTATGGTTGAGGGACTGTGAGACAGTCTACGTGTTACTGCACATCACTGCAAGAGGTTGTTGGTGTCAGTGGCAGCGCTTGGTCAATCGTCGTTGAACAAACATTATGTTTTCGGATGGTTTGTATTGGACTTACTTAACATGAGGAACAGCTGTCGTCTGGACAGATTGAGCGTCTTCATGCCGTTAACATTACTAGTACACGCGTGTAGGGTGAAAACGCTCATCCCGTTTTTGGGGTGGCTCAATAATGTTGTTGATGGATCACTGTGACATGTTATTCAAGAACCCCTTCACATGTCATTCACGGACGTGTCATTATGCAACACTATTGTGACAACATCCAGGAGGCACACGTGGTGCCTCATTTTGTGTTTTAGGATGACGATGAAAGCACTGAGGGCTCGCATTGTTACAGGGTACCTCCAAAAGGAGGACATAATCGTAGTACCATGGCGAGCTCTCAGTCCAGAGTTTGTTTGTTGTTGTTGTTGTTTTTTAAACACCTAGTAGAGCCATATCAATTGAACTTATAGTACAGTTATATCAGCTCAAACATACAGTTATACCAGCTGTACGCATGGTACAGTTATATCAGCTGAGCACGTGATGCAATTATATCAGCTGAACACATGGTTTGGTTATATAAGCTGAACTCATAGTACAGTAATACTCAGTCCAGAGTTGTCACTCATCGGAAATGTCTGGAATAGGACTACCCTTGGACGGCGCCTACGTCAACGTCAACCAATTCCAATTCCAGTTCCTTTATTCTCATTCAACCACCATCGGTGGTACAAGAGAATACAATGCATACAATTTATGCATACAAAAACAAGGTGAAGGTTAATTTGGGTTATATTCGATTAAGTTCCTTGAGTGTTGAGTTGATGATGGACATAAATCTGGAAAGGCTTTTTAAGATTGACAATTTTGTAAACGTAAATAATGATTGAAAAATATATAAATTCGGAAAGGTATTGAATGTCTGGGAAATATAACGATTTCGTTCGACAGCAAATGCCT